GTCGTTCTGTATATGTGCGTGTGCGTGCGCGTCTTATTTTTTGTATGCCTTTAGGCGTGGTGTGTGAGAAGCGTCCTAGTCGACCGACGACGGGTCGCGCTTGGGACCTCGGCCCCCCCAAGGCGTCGGTTCGCGTACGGGTCCGATAGAGGCCTAAAAACCGCGCGTAACCCCTATGCTACAGCGAACGAGAAACGACCTCGGTTGGTCCACCTCTGCGATTGCAGCTGATTAGCTTCCGTACTGTGGACTGGTAGCTCGGAGGAGATACGCCCACCAAAGGGAGGTGACAACTCCCGTAAGGTGGAGGTAATTCGTGCCTCGCATAGGCCCTATCCTGTCGTACGGGCTCGCGAGAGGTATGGCTGGCGCAATCGGCTGGAGTAGCTTGCAGAAGCTCCATGTGCATTTGCGACGAGAGAGTAGACCAACTCCTGCGTGACGCGGCCGGGAGGGTCCCGCCCCTGCTGGACCGATGCGCCCGACAACGGCACCGGAGTCAGTAGCTTGGGCCATCTCTCGAGATGGTGAGGGTGTGTCCACCACCTCGACCCTAGCAGGAACAACTACTATTCCTACTGGCCCGACGTGTTTCCCGGAGCAGTGCCAGAACTGCTGGCAACGTCGCTACCTACGGAAGTGGAGGATCCCAACGCCTGCCCAATTGTAGGCAGGATCTTTTCGGTCACCTTCTTATTTCAGCACTTGAACTGATTATGGCCATATTGGCCACAACGGATACAAGTCTGCCGAGTGTACCGATTCCTCCACACGTCCTCATCAAGACCCGCTTTATCCCATGGACGAGCATTGGGGTCAACTTGACTCCTAAACCGGGAGCCTCAACGGCGTCTACCGATCGCCTTACCTTTTTGCGCTGAGGCAGCGACTGCTCCACCCCCTGAAGCCTCCATGCTGCCCGCATCTGTACCTACTCCCTCCTGGAAGTCGTCTTCTAATTCGATGGTAGAACCATCGTTGTCGACGAACATGATGCGACCCTTCGCCTTCCAGTTGGGAGGCAGTGCTTTCTTCCTTCCGTCCGTCGTGGGTTGGTGCTCGTGCCCTATCTTTGCATCCAGGTCTGGGGCCTTCTTGCTAAACGAGGGAAAGTTGTGCACATTGATGTTCGCCTCACTTGCCAACTGATTCCTGAGTGGCATGGGAAAACACCTCAGGTAGGTTGTCAATAAGACTTGGGGGTCATAGCGTACTCCAGGAACACAGATCAAACGCTCCACAACATCTGTGGCATCCCTCACTGACTAGAACGGTCTATTGCCCAAAGTCAGGATCGCATCAGTGGCCTTTTGGGCCTCCTGAGGATCATGCCATCTTTCCTCCACCATCTTGAGGAAGTCTTCCAGTTTCTGGTTGACTGCCCAAGCGCGAAAGTCGTGTCCATATCCCTGCAGTTACACTAGCCCACTTAACCATCGTGTTGCGCTCCCCTCGAGATAGGCGGCAACCACAAGCACTTCCTCGTGTTGCAAGGTCAACTTGCACTTAACGTAGACAGGCACAAACCTCAACCATGTGTCGAGGTTTTCACCCCTCTTTTCCCCTGAAAAGGGTTTGGGTGAGGCGATGACCGTCTTTGGAACCCACTGGCCTTGTCCCGGTACCTGCCCCACTCCGGGTTGTGGACCCTGGGGCGCAGGTTGCTGCACTAACAGCTGTTGTGCTGGCTGCGAGACAGCAGGCTGCCCAGTCACGGCAACCTGCGATGGAGGTTGGGAATACGCAGTAGGACCTCCTGATAACCCTCCTGTCAAAGGCATTCCTAGGGAGCTATGCATGGGGATACCCCAGTCACCGGGGGGACAGAAGGAGGAGGTTGTACCACGGGCCAGGCACCAGGCCCTGATGGTGATGGTGTTGCCTGTGCTCACCCAACCAGCACAGCCAGGCTCTGTTGGATGTCCTGTAAGAGCGCCATTTGGTGATCTTGCAGTTCTACCACATCTAGCAAGACCGTCCTCAGGGTCCTCACATTATCATCCATGTTCGTCAGGTCCATCTCCTCTAACTCACTAATGTCTGCTTGTCTCCGCTGCATCCTCGCTCTTCTCCTAATCATTCTCTCTTTCTCTGCCTTTATCTCCCCTAAAGCCTTGTGTAGCTGTGCCTCCTAAGCATCGGCTTGTTGTATGGTGATCTCTTCGGGAGTCAGAACTAACGTCTGGCTTGCCATGACGCAGTCCCTGAACTACTAGCCTGAGAGCTCTGCTGCGCTGCTGCGCAGCAGTTGCCATGGCTGCTGAAGTAGCGGCCTCGCTTGCTAATGCCCTGCTTGCCTCTGCGGCCCTAGCTCTTCGCTGCTGCTGCTGCCTCTCTCTGCTGTCGGAACAGGAATCTATCGCCCTCTGGTCCTAATGCCAAGTGGGCCATTCGGCGCCTCGCTGATAGCAGGATCCTGTCGTCCTCTCTAGTTTCCTCTCTGTCGCTCATAAGCTACAGAACTGGACACAATCTGCACTAGGTCACTCACTCGATGCCTACCGCAGCGTCATGCACAGACCAATTTAAAAATAAATAAATTGATTAACCGGTGGCTATTTCAGAGTCGACGCATTCGGGTCCAACAGGTAAGTTCAGATTCCTACAAACGAAACTATTTTTACTTAACTAGTCCACGAACAGAGAGCAGATTTCTATCTAATGTTGTCTGTCAGATGTCAATGGCAGTCCATCTAACTAATCAAAATAAAAATAGAATCGTCTGTGTGGATATTTGCAGAGTGGAATTGAACACGAACTTATCACCTGGAATCTACCCCTCCCTCAGTTCCTCTTGATGGTCACTTGACGCCAGCGTCCCTGAGCGATCCAAAACAGCGTGCGTGTCTAAAGGTGTGCACACGGCCCACCCTTGTGCCCCGAGTGTATGTTGAGTAGGCCAGCCCTGCACTATTTTTATCCTCGCGTGCAGCGAGCCTTACACCGACCGATTGACTGATCAGGAGGCGTTTTAGGACGACCCCCGAAGTCCTCAGGAACTATTTAACGTCGCAGACAGGACGACGATCACAACGAGTGGAAGATACCCCGCCGGTGCTTATTTATAGACGCCCGATACTCGTCTCCCCTGTAGGGCTGGCCTGCCCCTCATCACCCATCTATCAGCGCAGCAAGCAGACAAAGGACAACGCAGCAAAGCATGTGTGCTCTACTCCCGGTGGGTTGACATGGTGACCATGACCCAGTGCTTCGTCCAGGGCCCTTCAAATAGCTCCGCCCTCTCCTTCCAGATGCTCCACGTGAACAATGCCGACTCTCAAGGTTGAGCGCACTCGACTCCTCACATGAGAGGACTCTCAAGACAGAACACACATCCTTACGGTAAGAAGTGTCGAAGAGGGTAGATAAGGTTAGGTGCAACGTASCTCAAAATAGTTGCCCCCAACCACAAATATTCTCACCAGATGACCTGATGCCGACTGTGATGACCAATCGCTGCTTCGGCACAACCAGCATTACACCGTCGTTCCACCTCAGCATCAATCGCACGTCAGATATTTCTCATCACATTGCGAACACCCACCATTCACCTCGTAGCCTTCCTGGCAATACCCCTCACCTCCTGGGTCGCCCTACTTGCCTTCGCCCTCCTCACTACACACTCCCTACGGCCGCTCACCCAGCAGACCGCATGCATCTACCGCATAGGCAGAAGACAAGCGCCAGATTAACGCACCGTACCACGGCTCCGATACCAAATTGCAAGGAAAATGAGCGATAGCGAACTTCAAAAACCAAGCAGCATCATACAAATGAGACCACATAGTCGCAACCTCGAACCAGAAGCAGAATTGCAACACGAGTTCGACCAAATAAGAGCACCGCAAAAGCTCATAAGTGACAATGTTGGAATAGTCTCATCATTATCAACAAAGAACCAATGTCGACATCCTATCTGGCGCTCTGTGCCCAGTCTCGGCCAACGCCGTTCGCCTCAAGCACCAGGTTTGTCTCTCGTATCACTCACAACCTCGATCCCCCACTCACAGATGCCACATGCACCCAAGGACCACCATGCGCCCCCTCCAGCTATGCAGCGCAGCTCGGCTATGGCTGCCTGCCTCTCCCTGCTCACCTGTGAGCGCATGAGCCTGGCCAGCGTTAAGCGCAGCAGCTCTTGCGCAGCATGCAGCCAGTGCCCGAATGAAGAGTCCTGGGGCAGGCACTTTCCTAAATGGAAGTGACCTGCCTGCTGCGTGCGGCCTGTCTGCATTGGGCCTTGGTCCAGAAGCTTCCGGTAGGCCCCATGAGGCTGGGCCCCAGTCCGAACAAATCAGGCCCAGGGCCTGTGGTGGTTACCCGTGCCCAACTGCCCGCAGCCTGTGTTCGGCGCATGTTGTGTATCTGGCCCAGGGCCTGCCTCAGTTACATACGAAAAAGGCAGTCTGGGCCTGGGCGCTGCGCAACTGCCTGAATTTCCCCACTTGCGTGGTGACCCCAAAAATGGGCCTGTAGGCCTTGGTCGAGCCTGCCTTCACTTAGGGCAGGCGACTGTACTGAAAATAGGGCCCAGTAGGGTGTATCGAGGCCTTGAGCCTCGCATCATCCGACAGGTTTGTGCAATGGACCTGAGAGGAAAGGTGGAAGTAAGGCAAGCTGACAGTCAATCCTCCATTATGCAGGAGTAATCAATGCTGTTCAGGGTTCCTTCGGCCAGATGGAAGGAAGCGTGAGTGTGTTTTCATGATGTAATATTTTATTCTGACTTGTCGGTGGAAAAGGAACCGGACTGATGCTCCCCAGAATGGAAATGGAGCCAGGGCCATAAGGACCTGTTTGAAAAAAAAAGGAAAAAAAAGAATAGAAAAGAAAAGAAAAGAAATATGCAATCAAGAGAAGATTGGCATTGCCCCTATGCAAGGATGACACACTTAAATCGAGAATTGGTCCAAATTAAAAAAAAAAAAAAAAACTTTAAAAAAGAAAAAAAAAAGCACTGAGCGGCCCTCAGAGGAAAGCATTTCGTGGATCAACTTTACCTGGAAAGCGAGTCCAGACACAAAGCTCTCTGCAAAGCTGCTTCTCCATATGGCTCGCTCTGCAATTCCAAACAGATTCAATTTCTAATGAAAACAGAGCTCTCTGCAAAGCTGCTTCTCCATATCACTCGCCGTGCAATTTCAAACAGTGAAAACCACCTCTCTCTCTCTCTCTCTCTCTCTCTCTCTCTCTCTCTCTCTCTCTCTCTCTCTCTCTCTCTCTCTCTCACACACACACACACACACACACACACACACACACACACACACACACACACACACACACACACACACACTCAATCCGTTTGTGTATGTCTTTTTCTGCATTTTCTGTCTTTTTTCCTTCGATTTTTCCTATGTACTTTTGCCTGTCTAAGTGAGCACCTAAGTGGGCTAGCTCAGTTGGTTGAGCACTGGTATTCAGGAGGTCGTGGGTTCAATTCCCCACGCGATCCCCCGCGGCCCCCTGTGATGCGCTTCGGGTTCACCAGCGGAGATAATTGGCTTGGGCCTCCTGGCTGGTTGTGGAAGCAGAGAGGGTGCTTTCCCGCTCGTGCCAGGTGTTAGGAACCGGGGTACTGCTCCCCGCATAGAGCAGAGTTGAGCAGAATAACAAGGCTGGGATTCATTAGAGAGATTCAACCCATAGCTGCAACCATTTGGAAACTGGACTTACATAACAGGACAGGTAGTGTGAGGCATATGAGTGAAGAATATAGCTTAGTTTCAAAAAAAAAAAAAGAAAAAAAGTGAGCACCCTTAAGCAGTGCCAAACAGTTTGTCAGTCCTCGTTTGGAGTGCCTACAACACTCTTAGGGGGCCCGCTCGGTTCAGGATGTCTGTGTCTCACGCAGATGATGATGGATATTCATCTAAGTGATTCCCTGGCTCAGCATCTGGTGGGAACCAACAGTCTGTGAGGTTAACTCGTGATGCGAGTAGGTGATGTGCCGCTTTGCTCCGTGTTGGATGTGTAGACTGCCTTCTGTGCTCCGTCCCTGCCTTGCTGCCCAGCACGCTCGCTTTGCATGTCTTCCTCGCTGCTCTGCTGCCTTGCCGCCCATCCACAGGCCGTGCCTTCCATGTCCTTTGCTTGCGTGCCTTGTAGTGTGGTTGCCTTGTTGGTGTCGTCTTGCACTTCACTGCACGGTTGCTGAGCTGCTCGTCTGCTCGTCCTGTCGTTCCCTGCAGTAGTCGTTGGCGTTGAGCAGCCGTGTTGCCTCTGCAGCGTTGCCTGGTGCTTCGCTGGTTTGCTGCCCGCTGCTGTGTTCCGTTTGGGGACAGTCTGCCTTCAACCAGGGTCAAAGGTTGCATGACCCAAACCATCAATACGGGGATTCCACAGATTGTCGACCGTTCAGCCTTCTTATGACTCGGTGCAACTCTGACGAAAAACATATCATCATCACAGATTCATCAGCCTAAAGAAAAAAAGAAAAAAAAAAGCTGCAGTTTTATTATATAATCCAACAATGAGGCCGGGAATTCCTCAACATCTCAACAGGTGCAATCAGACTCGCTTTCAAACACACTTTTCACACATGTAAACAGTACGCAGCACACTGGCGACATGCGCCCACTCAAAACTCAGAGATATGGCTTCAGATACGAGTTCACTCTCAAATGGCTATGGCGACTTCAGCGCCCAAACATCTCACTGTTCACATGCACTGGATCACCCTGGATATCCCACACGCATCACTCTAACACTCGAACACACACACTCACTACTAACTACAGCTATGGCAGCTATGGCTGCCTCTAACC